TGTGGTGTTGGAGAAGACTCTTGAGAGTCCCTTGGACTGCAAGGAGATCCAACCAGTCCATCCTAAAGGAGATCAGTTCTGGGTATTCATTGGAAGGACTGATGTTGAAGCTGAAACTCCAATACTTTGGCCACCTGATGCGAAGAGTTGACTCATTGGAAAAGACCCTGATGCTGGGAGGGATTGGGGGCAGGAGGAGAAGAGGACGACAGAGGATGAGATGATTGGATGGCATCACCGACTCAATGGACACGGGTTTGGGTGGACTCCAGGAGCTGGTGATGGACAGGGAGGCCTGGCATGCTGCAGTTCATGGGGCTGCAAAGAGTCAGACATGACTGAGCGACTGAACTGAACTGCACTGAACTGAACTGAACTCTGTAAGCGAGTTTGGAAGAGGGTCCTTCTCTAGTCACACCCCCAACTCTAGCTGACAACTTGAATGAAGGCTTGTAACAACTCAGAATCAAAGGACCCAGTTAAGTTGTGCCTGGAGACCTGATCCACAGAAACTGTGAGATAATAAATGTGTCTCATTTTAAACTGCTAAATTTGGGGATAATCTGTTACTTAGCAATAGATAATTACTTTAACACCTAATGTGTAATGCTGGAACATGATGACGACAATAAACACTCCAATTTGAAAAGGTAAAGAATAGAGGGCATACAGCAATCACTGGACCACAGCAATTCTAAAATCCCACTGGGTGTTACAGACTCCCTATTGTTAACCAGCCAGGCCCCTCTATCTTAAGTTAAGAGGAATTCCTTGGTTAGATCCCTATTCTGCTTCACAGGAGTAGCTCTCAAGTCCATTTTTCTCCGTTGTTCCTGGCTTCTCTGAGGTTCTTTCTGTTCCATCATGCTCCTTGCTATCTTGTGACAAGAATACAGGCACATAAAAACACACCAGCTAAGTCATTTTTTAAAGACCCCTTTCTTGTTGTAGAAGTTCAGGCCCATGAAGCCTTTTTATATCTTGAACAGTTTCAATCTAGACTGGAAGCACTTTGGTCAAATTGTGTCTTCCCAAAACTTTATGGGCTTTCTACTTATTTGATTTCAATAACATCATATGCCAAAAAGCACATCCACTTTTTTGTTGTTCAGATAAGCCTTTATCTCTCTAATCTTAATTACCTCACTTTGGGCATAATCAGGCTTCTATGACACTCTGTCCTTAAGATTTCTGAGTTCTTCTGTTCATCTGAAAGAATCTACTAGACATATTTTAGTCCTTTCAAAAAGTCCTTTCAAAATGTTTTAGTTACATTCTAGATTTGGTCTTTACCCTGGGATCATGTCAACATTGTGGATTTCACTTTTGTTTGAGGTGTTTTAATGCCTACACCTTTGATAAAATTGTCCCTGAATTCATTTTAGTACCTTATTAAATGCAGCTTATGCTTTCAACATTCTGCCTCAAATTTTTTTTTGCCCAAATGTCTCTGTTAATTAGGTAATTTTTCTGTCTTCTAAGTTACCTTAGGTGACAGTTTTAACAAATGTTTTGCTACTATTTAACACAGACTGCTATTTTTTCAGTCCCCCATAACATTTTTTTTGCTGCCCACCACTCAAACCCAGGACCAGTGTCACTTTCAGGTACTAATTTCTGTATCAGTTAACAAAAAGCCACAAAAATGTCAGTGGTTTATAATAAGCTTTCACTTCACTCACTGGTCTACAAGTCTGGGATGGTTCTGTTTCAGGCTTTACCCTAATGTGGGTCCATTAGGCTTGGCTCTGCTCTGAGGGTCTGTGCCACAGAGCAAGACCAAACATTAAGGCATGCTTCAGTCTCTGCTCACTGCCATTAAGATACCATTGGCCTAACAAAGTCATACACCCAAGTCCAAAGTCAAGGGGTAGGGAAGTATACTTCACCATCATGAGACCATGTTGAGAGTATGCATGTACAATATTACTACATTGAAGGGAAGAAGTGAGATCAATAATCCAACCTTTCACACCAAATAAAATTTTATCTGAATAAGGGTTTCTGTGCTGATGGATGTTTTAAATTCCTAGCCTAAATGATTTCTAAAGTCTTTCCGAGTTGTTTGAAACACCAAGGAAACAGAAAGAACATTTGGGTGGAAAAGGGCAAATCAGAAAATACAGAAAGAATGCAGTACTTTTTGTCAAAACATTGAGGGTGGTTATAGATTTCATCAAACACCTGAAGGAGTGCAAGAAAGGAGTTTGTGAAGATGCCGCACAATGAACCAGCTTATCTTGAATCAGCCCATTATTTATTATGGGATAGCATATTTCTCTTGCGCGCCCCAAATTTTTCAGGTCATGGACTCATTCAATTGCAGGTTGAAAACTATATTCTTATATACAGACCATTCAGGTATGGTCAAATCCCTTATGATTATACAGTGGAAGTGACAAATAGATTCAAGGAATTAGGTCTGATAAACAAAGAGCCTGAAGAACTATGGATGGAGGTTCATGACATTGTACAGAAGGCAGGGATCATGACCATCCCCAAGAGAAAGAAATGGAAAAAGACAAAATGGTTGTCTGAGGAGGCCTTACAAATAGCTGAGATAAGAAGTGAAAGGCAAAGGAGAAAAGGAAAGATGATACCCATTTGAATGCAGAGTTCCAAAGAAAGCAAGGAGAAATAAGAAAGCCTTCCTCAGTGATGAATGCAAAGAAATAGAGGAAAACAATAGAATGGGAAAGACTAGAGATCTCTTCAAGAAAATTAGAGATACCAAGGGAACATTTCATACGAAGATGGGCTCAATAAAGGACAGAAATTATATAGATCTAACAGAAGCAGAAGATATTAAGAAGTGGCAAGAATACACAGAAGAACTATACAAAAAAGATCTTCATGACCCAGATAACCACGATGGTGTGATCACTCACCTAGAGCCAGACATCTTGGAATGTGAAGTCAACTGGACCTTAGGAAGCATCACTATGAACAAAGCTAGGGGAGGTGATGGAATTCCAGTTGAGCTATTTCAAATCTTAAAAGATGATGCTGTGAAAGTGCTGCACTCAATATGCCAGCAAATTTGGAAAACTCAGCAGTGGCCACAGGCCTGGAAAAGATCAGTTTTCATTCCAATCCCAAAGAAAGGCAATCCCAAAGAATGCTCAAACTACCACACAATTGCACTCATCTCACATGCTAGTAAAGTAATGCTTAAAATTCTCCAAGCCAGGCTTCAGCAATATGTGAACTGTGAACTTCTAGATGTTTTTAGAAAAGGCAGAGGAACCAGAGATCAAATTGCCAACATCCAATGGATCATCGAAAAAGCAAGAGAGTTCCAGAAAAACATCTATTTCTGTTTTATTGACTATGCCAAAGCCTTTGACTGTGTGGATCACAATAAACTGTGGAAAATTCTGAAAGAGATGGGAATACCTGACCACCTTTGTCTTGAGAAACCTGTATGCAGGTCAGGAAGCAACAGTTAGAACTGGACATGGAACAACATTTCCTGGAGTTTGCTCAAATTTGTGTCCATTGAGTTGTTGACACTAAACTTAGCAACTTTCAAACATATAATAGAGTGTTAGTAATTATAGTCACCATGCTATACATTACATCCCTGTGGCTAATGTATCTTATACCTGAAAGTTTGTACTTTTTAATTGCTTTCACTCATTTTGCCCACTGTTACCACCATCAACTCCTGCCCTCAACTACCAATACGTTCCTTATATCTATGAGCTCTTTTTCTTAGATTCCACATATAAGTGAGATCATACACTTTCATCATTCTCTGTCTGACATTTCACATTACACAGTGCCTTCAAGGTCAATCCATGTTGTCAAAAATGGCGAGACTTCCTTATTTTTAATGTCTGAATAATATTCCATTATATATATATGATGCATGCATGTGTATGTATATCACAATTTCTTTATCCACTCATGTATTGATGGACACTTGCAAGTGTTAGTCGCTCAGTCATGTCTGACTCTTTGCGACCCTGTGGACTGTAGCCTGGCAGGCTCCTCTGTCCATGGAATTCTCCAGGTAAGAATACTGGAGTAGGTAGCCATTTCTTTCTTCACGGGATCTTCCTGACCCAGGGGTCAAACCTGGGTCTCCTGCACTGCAGGCAGATTTTTTTTTTTACCGATGGAGCGACCAAAGAAAACCAGTTTCTTTATCCATTCTTCCATTGGTGGACAATTCAGCTGCTTCCGTACCTTTGGCTACTGTAAATAATGCAGCAATCAACACAGGGGTGCATATCTTTTTGAGTTAATATTTTCACTTTCTTTGGAAATACCCATAAGTGGAATTGTTGTATCATGTGATAATTCTATTTTTAATTTTTTGAGGAACCTCCATACTGTTTTCCATTGTGGCTGCACCAATTGACATTCCAATAACTAGTGCACCAGGGCTCCCTTTTAAAATTCCACATTCTCGCCGACTGTTTTTACTTCTTGCCTTCTGATGACAGCCATTCTAATAGGTGTGAGGTGGGATTGCGTGGTTTGACTCATTTCCCTGCTGCTGAGTACCTTTTCATGTAACTCTTGGCCATCTGTATGTCTTTTCTGGAAAAATGTCTATTCAGATCCTCTGCCCCTTCTGCTCTATTTTTGTCCTTAGCACTCATCACTGTCTAACATGCTATATATTTTACTTACTTGTCAATTTCCCCAGCCAAAGGTAAGCCCTACTAGGCAAGCAATTTCATCTGATTTGTTCACCACTGTTTCTTTTGTATTTAGAACAGTGGCATACACATAGAGAACACTCAAAACATATTTATTGAATGACAGAATTTCTCAGTACAGTTTATGCTATTCCAATCCAAGGAAAGAATGGGCATAAAAACAGGGGGAGGGGAGATACAGCTAAAGAAAATTCTAACAAATAAGAGCTATAATTATAGCTTTCATTTACTATGTCTTTTTCTAATCATTTATTCATAATTGTCTAATTGTGTTCTTGATGAATATATGCTTTCCACATAAAAGAGGTGAATGCACTCAGCAAAGTTCATTTACTTTTCACGACGTTCCTCTTTTGATTTTGAGTCTTTACTCTCCTGGAGTCCTAACAGAATTGCTTCAGCCTCTAGGATGGTTGTATCTGTTGTCGCTCCCAAGAACCTAGACGTAAGTTCAAGATCTAATAGTCGCAGCCGGACTCTGGTTCCTTTCTGGTATTTCCTAAATAGTAAGAAAAAAATTCTGTTAATTCTTCATATCATAAAATGAACAACTAAAATCAAACTCAAATTCTAATTCTAATTTGTGTTGGCTCCAGATAAGGAAATTAACACTGGTATCAGGGAAACAGTTGTTTTTGACAGAAAAGTTATTTAGTTGTATCAAAATTTTTATGTTAAAGTCACTTTTAAAGATTTTATAACTGAAATGAAAATGTATTCCAAACTAAATTCAAACAAGTTGGTTCTTGAAACTGACATTTATTTTAATGTCATTCATTTTTAAAGTCAAAGAGTATCAAGGGGAAAAAATGTTTTCAGAAACATTTTGTCTTCTAAAATTAGTATCTTCTTTGAAAAACAAAATGGAAAAAAGTCTCACTGCAAAATACTTACTATAGGGGATTGACTACACTGTAATTAAAAATATAACGCTGGCCATACAATGTATGATGGCTCAGTTTGGTAAAAATTAAAATATTCAAGTATTTCACAATACCAAGTGAAAACTGATGCTCATTTGTCTTTCTTCCTTGATCAATCATTTTAAGAGCTTAATATCAACATTATGAAAAGGTACAGGAGAGTGAAAATATTGCTACTGAATGAAAATCACAACTCTTTTTTAAAAACATCTAAACACACCTCAAACACTCTAAGGTAATTTTAAAATTAAATTAATTTTATATAAACAGAAAATGAAGAAACAGATCTCCCAAAAAGAGAAAATGATTTTGGTAGAGCATATAATGAACAGTCTCCACATAATGTTTGATTAGGTATTCTGGAGGAATTTATAGGTGATTCATCAAGTAAACCTTTAGGTTATTTGGCTTTTTTCTAAGTCATTTTTCTTTCTGATTACAGAAAGAATCCTGTAAAATTTGAAAAATCATGTCAGTCACACTCTATATGTGTATTTATATATATGTACATGGGTGTGTGTATGTGATGGCATAGATCATACTTCTTTGTTTAAAAAAACTGAAGAGATGTCCTAGAATAGCAAGGCCTAGCTTTATACTCTTAAAAAACAGATTCCCATTGTACTCCTCTTGGCCTTTTGCACTGCAGCGCTGCTTGGACTTTCCTTATTAAAAAATCCTATTGGTTCCCAGGAATCCAGGTAGAATGTATCAAACGCAGCCCTTGAGAGCTTCCACATTTCCCTTATCAGAATGTAGATTCTGTCACTGGAATTCCCAAGAAAGACAGCATAGCCAAGTAAGCACAAATGTTAGTGCCCTTCACTCACCTCTACTGGTTATTTGTGTAAATCTCTGATTTCTCATTAGATCAAACGCTCCCCAAGATCTGTCACTGTTTTTACATCTGTATCCTTCTAGGGCCAATGCAGCAGGAACGCAAATGTTTGTCAATAAATTAACAAGACACTTGCTGACAAAAGCCACCACCCCATCGACAGTCTAGATGCTCCATTCTCTTGGCTTCAGCAGCTGAGTGGCCTGGCTTATTCACTCGACCTCTCGGAAGCTTGCCTGGCACAGTGCCTGGTGCCCAGTGGTTAATACATGTTAGTCTTCTTCTCCTTCCATTGTTCAGAGTTGGACAATAAACTGACCATGGTAAAGGGCAACAGTGATTTTTTTTTTTTTTTAATGAAAAGAGTTGAACATTCACAAACACTTGAGACACGCTATCTGGGCCTAGTCACACTGAAGGGGCAGCTCTCAGTGGAGACAGTCCTGTGTCTTGTAAATGTTAGCAATCTCCTGTTACAAAAATAAAATCAGAAATACCATGAGTGCCCAGTATACTTGGTAGTTGGTGGAAAGCAAAGCTGTCCCAATGTTTAGGTGCAGGAGCCTTTAATAATATGAAAGTTTTGCCTTCATCTCTAAGAAGCATGGAAATTCTAGAAGCAAGCCAGTGAGTTGTTAAGAGAAATGCAAAGTGAGCTGCAGGCCTTCACGTGTGCTGAATGAACAAAGAGTCATCCACATGTCACTAAACAACAGCAAAAACACCTCTAGAGGATTCGCTGACCTCAGTGGTCTGGGAGCAGCTGTTTCTACTTCTGTGGTACTTAATTTTCACTGTGCATTATTTCTCTGTGTTATCTTCCCTAGCAGACCATAAGCTGGCTGAGGGCAGGGCTTTTATCTCACCTGTCTCTTATAGTACCCAGAAACCTATACATTTCATACATCAAAAGCAACTGCGGTGCTCCTTAAAAATGCAAATGAGGGGAGAAATCCCAGAGAGTGAGTTGGCAACTCTGGGGTGGGACTCAGGAATTTGCCTTTTTTGTTGTTGTTATGTTTTATTCGGTGGGAAGTTTTAGGACTTCAAGCCTGGGAGACAGCATCTCAGGTAACCCTGAGAGAACTGCTCTGAGGAGGCGGGGGCACGGAGGGGCAAGGAGCGGGGAGAAAATTATACAGAAGTTTGCAACAAAGGGCGGGTAGTCTGAACATCAAAAGTATTTTTGTGAATTAAAGAAAACCAGATTATCTCAAAAGTTAAGGAATTTAGTGTTTTCTACGTTTCTATGTATGGGAAGATGCAAGTGTTGGGGCTCACTGAAATCATTCCTTCCACAGGCATCTCAGCGATCCGGAGCCAGTATGCTGAGATTTTTCACACCCTGAGTTCTTCAGTGCTTGCTGTAGGGAGGGACTGCAGGGGAATTTGCCTTTTTAAAGCTCCCCAGGTGACGCAGAGGCAGTCTTCTCTGATCAGCATTCGAGAAAAATCTGGCCTAGAATTACCTGTATTATATACAAGGCATGGCATCCTACATACATACAAAGGGCCAGTAAAACGAGGACTTCTATGGACTTTGCAGCCACCATGAACAGTCTTTGAGAGTAACAGACGTTTTCCACAAATGATGACAAAACCAACAAACTTCTGGATGACTAATTTAGATAGACCAAAGTAATAATAATAATAGAGCCAGGCAATGACAATATATAGTGGAGAAATGCACCTTAAAAGAGTCCCTTGAACAAAGCTTAGTGCCCACTGGGGCGGGACTGACTCTCCCACACACAGACTGTCATCTGAGAAACCTAGGACGTGGAAAGGTTAGAAGTCCTCACTCAACAGGAACAGCAGCCATATCTTTAATGTGGAGTTTATCCTTGCTTTAAGTTTGAAATAATTCATTAGAGGGCAGTAAAGAAACGACTGACGTACTTCGGAGAACTCTATTTCTGCCAGTGTAATTTGAGGTGAACCTCCAGTACTGCGGTCTTTGATAATCACTTATACCGCTTAGTCTTTCCAGTCGGGTTTCCATTGTTCCACATAACAAGATTTAAAATGAATATGCCAGCCCACTCTTTCCCCAAGAATGCATTGTTCATACAGTTCCCAAATGCTCCTTTTAGTCAAAGATTTTGGCCTAAGTATAAATATCCAGAAAAAGTAATGAGGTGGTGAAGACTGCAGACTCTGGAGCCAAATGACTAGAAACGTGCCCAGCTCCATCCATAAACATGCAGCTCTGAGCTAGTTACTTTATCTCTGTCTCAGTTTCTTCATCTGTAAAATGGAAATAATAATTATGGGCTTCCCTGGTGGCTCAGATAGTACAGTCTGCCTGCAGTGCGGGAGACCCAGGTTCGATCCCTGGGTCAAGAAGATCCCCTGGAGAAGGAAACTGCAACCCACTCCAGAACTCTTGCCTGGAAAATCCTGTGGATGGAGGAGCCCGGCAGGCTACAGCCCATGGGGTGGCAAGGAGTGGGAAAGGACTGAGCGACTTCACTTTCACTTTCAGGTTACTATGAGCATAAAATGAGTTAACACCTGCCAAGTCCTTATACATGCTCAATAAATGATAGCTACCATCATTAATCTCCACCACTACCACCACCATCACCACCAAAACAAACCCAGTGACAGCAGATGCTCCAGCCTTGGCATGATGGAGGGTACAAGAACACTCTCAGGGGATACAGGTATATGTAAGGCTGATTCACTTTGCTATACATCAGAAACATCAGCAGTGTACAGCAACTATACTCCAATTAAAAAAATTATGACTACAAGAAAAAAAATAAGAACACTCCAGATATAATTTCAAGTTATAATTAAATCAGTAAAGGATTTCTACAGACGGTAAGCTTTGGGGATGGGTTTTCTTTCAATAATTTGCTTTGATTCAAATCTTACTTATTTTAATGGTATAAACATTCCTCTCTTAAAATATATTATAAATGTCCTACCAAAAAGAAAACAATTATTTAAAATGAATGTTGAATTTCTTTTGAGGATGTGAGGCAAACTAGCACTGAACAAAAGCAAGTAAAGCTCACAGAACTACATGCCACATTTAAAGGTCCACATTTTCCCACATTAGCTACATCATACCTGAAACAATAAAGTAGAAACATATGGTGAGTAACAGAAGGGTCACAGCGACTCATCCACTCTAGTACTCCTTTTGACAGGGGTTCAGTGAACACCGAGGGGCAGGCAGAGCTGTCTAATTTTACCTTCTCCTATCACTCCTTAATTCTTGATGGATTTCAGTGAATCTATTTTTAGCACATAACTATTTCTTGGAAGGGGAAGATGATCCTTTCAATAGGTTCATAATTTTTTCTTCTAAGAAGCAATTTTTAGCTCCTTTTAAAATTTACCATTTCAATAACAGACTTAACTTCTAACCTGTCAAACATCCCTTTCTTTATAGAACTGACTCTACTTCCTCTGTCTTCTATGTGTGTTGGTCACTTGATCATGTCTGACTTTTTGTGACCCCATGAACTGTAAGCCCCAGACTCCTCTGTCCCTGGACCCCTCCAGGCAAGAATACCTGAGTGGATTGCCATTCCCTTCTCCAGGGGATCTTCCTAACTCAGGGATTGAACCTGGGTCTCTTGCATTGTAGGAGGATTCTTTACCATCTGAGCCACCAAGGAAGCCCTTTTCTATAATGAGGTTTTATTATTCTTTTGGACTTCCAAGGAGACACAGTTGGTAAAGAATCCACCTGCCAATGCAGGAGATGCAAGAAACATAGGTTTG